ATGAAAAAACTGTGCATCTCACCTAACTTCCTCTGTCAGGCTCTGTAGGATTTCAGACCATTCTCTCAATACCTCCAAAGAAGAAAAAGAGGCAGCTTTTTCCCTACATACACCCTGAATTTCAGCCTTGCTCTCTAATTCAGCTGTCCCTTACCTACAGCACTCTGACCTATGTCTGAACCACATAATAAAGTATCAATTCACAAGAAACCATCAGTTTAATAGAAGTAATTTTCTTCTCATTTGGTTAAGGGCTTTCTTTAGTAATCACATTTATAAATGTTTGCAGAATGCTCTAAATTGCTCTCCTTTCATTAGCTGAAATCCACACATCCAGACCATCCTGTAAAATTGGCTCTCGATTCTGATTCTTCCAGTTGTTTCAAAGGTACCACTAACTTGCATAGACTGTTACTACTGTCTATGCGACTCCAAACTAAACAACCTCTATATCCTGAGGAATCACCTCCTCCACATGGTCTCACATACCAAATTCTGTAATAAGCTTTCACTTGTTCTTTCTAATCACAGTTTTTCCTCCCTCCAGTTCATAGTTCTGCTTCTCACAAGGAATGCTTAAATTATGTGAATTTTGCTTAAAAGAGTTTCAGGGTCTCCTTATGATCACTGAATCAAGGTCCTTGGAATTTAAAATTTCTACAATCTGACCCAATCACACTTTGCACCTCTAACCATCTCCCAAACCAATTTTAAAAGTTCCCACATGACACTTCTATTTCTATTGTCTACTGAGAGGTGACAATGCCTTCTCCACAGTGTGGCCACCTGTGAAGACCAGGGGCACTCCAGGCCCATCGTCTTTGCAGAGCTATTTCAGAAGTGGTCTATTTCTACCAATGTTCCCCACACAATACTTATTTGGCAGTTAATCATGGATTATTTCATGGTCTGTGTTATGCTAAACTGTTATAAGTCTCAGGTAGCTTTTCACATGTCTCTACTGTATCAACAATTTGAATAAACAGTATATTGGGACTAACTTCTTTGTAAAACAGCAGAGTATCTTGTATGTACTACAAACAAAAAATGCAGATAAACTGAGATGCTAGGCATTTGGTGATCTAAGTTTCCCACAATGCAATTGTTTGGAAACTGCCAAACTGTTTAGATATCAAGGTCTACTCTTTAAGGAGGAGAGGAAGACACAAGCCATCACTATCTGACATAGTAACCAGCATGATGAGAGTGCTCAATAAACATTTATTCAATAAAAATTAATAAGACATCAAATATTCAAGATATAGAGAGATAATTTACCTTTTGTATGTGGTGAATTTAAGATTAAAAAAATAATAAAAGAGGTTAAAACCTGCCAGACTATATTTAGACCAAATTAGAAGTTACCAAATATTTTATATGGGGTTACACAAAGAAAATGAACATTTCAAACAACTTTTCTCTGAGTATGAGAAATACTATGAAACAAAAGACCTGATTTGTATAAACGATTTGCCATCTTTCTCAGATTATACAATATCCTATTCTCAAAGTCATCCTCTGTTTCCTTATGATTGAAAATAAAATTTTTAGATGTAGGGTTGATATTAAAAATGGTGCTATATAAGCCTTTAATTTTATAATTGACATATACATATGTATTCAATTATGTTAAATTTTATGTTACAAATATTAAGAATTACTACTTCAAATCAAAGTAGTTCAACACTATTATTATCAACGAATTTGCTTGGCTTACTTTACCAGTAGATAGTAAATTAAAGAGCAGGCTAAGTAATTGCTTTTGTGTGTATATGTAAAACATAAAAATACTTTTATATAACAAAAAAATCATACCTGTTGATCTCCAAGGAAATGACTTCTCAGTTGAGCTACAGAAAAAGAAGGAAAAGATGGAATCTTTATTTTCCTTGTTATAAATTTAACTGTGGACTTGTTTAGCATATAAACATGTTAATTTTCACATTCAATTATATAAAAGTATAAAAACCTCAAATAAAAATTTTAAAATCACTCCTCTAAGTAAATTAATTTTTACAAAGTACTTACCCTTCCATATCAATTTGGGACAAACTATTTTTACTTCGAAATTAAGTCCCCATTATTTTTCTTGAATAAGACAAAATGTCACAACTACATGTGATATTCATGGTACTGAAATGATGTACTGTACTATTTTTGTGATAACGTGAAAATTTTAGATACAACATACTTAAAGAACCCCAAATGGCTATTTAAGAAGTTCATTTATTTTATTTATTTCCAAAGGAAACCATTAGACACTACAATTAACATAAAAGTTAATGGGGTCAGTTTTGAAGCAAATGTTGCCTTATAAAATTAAAGAATTTCACAGAACTTTACATTAAAAAATAAGATCTTACAAGTCAGGATAAAACTTTAGTTATGTATATTCCTTTGCTTATAGCATATGTATTTGAAATTTGGACCTAAAAGCATTTTGGTGTGCCTATTTCTCCCAGCCCTGACCCAATCATTATGGCATGAGAGGAACAGTGGATTAGAACACAGCAACCACAGGCTGGATTATTAAGGATTTGTTAAGTAGATTAAGTACTTCAAATACATCATCTCCACTTCATATATGTTATCAGCTTTAAATTATTCACAACCACCTTATGAATAGGTACATCATTGTATTTATTTTACAAATAAAATACATGCTGGCATCTAGAAATGCTAGGATCAAACCCAGAATGGTGTGATTTCCAGTCAGTGTACAGCAAAACAGGTATGATCCCATTTTTTGCATTATACATATATAGTTATACAATATGCTTAGAAAGAGGTCTGTAAAAATTAAAAAAAAAAAAAAAACAACAACCAATATGAGGGGTAAGAACAGGAGAATATTTTTCTTTTTAAACATTTGTTTAATTTTTCCCCCTGAAACCAGAACAAACAAACTAATATATATTTAAGTATTTTTGGAGTTCTTATTAAATTTACAAAATAGATGTGTTCCTCTGGACTTAAAGATGTACCACATAAAACAAAGGACTTGGATTAGATGAAGGGAAAAGTCCTTTCTGTGCTATATTTCTATTAACCCCTTGATATTTTCCCCAAGTCATTTAAAGGGTTAATGGAACTCTTGCTAGTTGAAAACCCTAGATTAAATCACAACTGCCTGTACTTCAATTTTGTGTGTGATTTGCCTTTTCTTCATCACAGGTACAGCAGCTCACATTCTAGGACCTTGAGCTAGCTGCAGGCAGGGGGACATATTCCCAATGAATGGAGTCAATCAGTTAATGCTAATCTTCTCCAGAGCTCCACTGATGTTCCTTTATCAGATGTAATCTTAACTGATTTCAAAAGGGACTGATGGGTGAAGAAAAGAAAAATTTGGTCAAATATCAGTAATGGTATATTTGTCTTGCTCCTGAGAGTAGGTCACCACTGTCTTTGGCTTCAAAAGTAGTTCCCTACATTTAATTTCAATTCTCTTGAATTTGTTTTTATTACTTAACTCTATTATCTAAATTAGTTTTCTAAGCACTAAGACTGCTATTCAACTGTGTTCCTTTCAAAACAATTATGCTTTATGTCAACATTAAAATACATGGTACATCAAATGCCACCCAGAAATGTCATTAATATGCTTCAAGTTTCTAGGGACTATCATGAAAGTTTATTAATTATTGAATTTGAAACTTACAGAATTTAATGAACTACCTTTACAAGATTTTTTGTCTTTGAAACTGTAAGTCAAAGAATATAATTCTGGCTAATTGCTCAAATTGGGCAGGGGCTGTGGCTATTTTGCTCACCTCTCTATATTAAGTTCTAGTATACTACCTAGCACACATGAATAGCTTAATGTATATATTGTTACAATACAAATTGAAAAGACTTTTGATCACCACAATATAAGTTAATCCTAAGTGAAGAAAATGGGAAGGTTTGGTTACAGTTAATTTTCCCTACACTTTTTTTTGCTTTTGGTTCTGGGGATTGAGCTCAGGGGCACTCAACCACTGAGCCACATCCTCAGCCCTATTTTGTATTTTATTTAGAGACAGGATCTCACTGAGTTGCTTAGCACCTTGCCATTGCTGAGGCTGACTTTGAGCTCACATTTCTTCTGTCTTAGCTTCCTGAGCCACTGGGATTACAGGCATGCTCCACTACGCCCGGTTTTCCCTATACTTTTTAAGGTAAAAGATACAAATCATTAGGAAAAGAAACTAATAATGAGGATGAAATATAAGCAGAAAGTTCCATGGTATATCCTGAAGAGCATATAATTCTGCCCAATTACCTTCACATGAAATTCTACAATGCTGTGTAATAACTGCTCATTATATGTTATTCAGAACAGTCTATTTCCCATTTGAACTACTTACTTTAAATGATTCTCAAATTGTTCTCTACTTTGGGATTCAAGGATTGAAGAACAAATACATGGAATTTTAAAATGTTCTTTCAAGTCACTGAATGCAACCCACTTTTTTTTTTTTTAAAAGAACAATTAGAGGTAGATCCATGTTAGAAACAGCAGAGACAGCTTTGAGTTAGGAATGTAGGCTTATTTCCTGTTAGTTTTTTCTTTTCTTTCTCTTTAAATATCTATTCCTAGAAATACTTCCCCAACTTATACTGGATGTCTACAATGTATCTTCAGGCACTGTGCCCACAAGTGACTCCACCCTGGTTCCGTTTTACTTCTGAAGATGCCAAACAGCTTTTGCTCTAGGAGCTTCCATTGAAATACAGAACACATTTAAAAATACAAGCATTGATCAACTGGGATAACTTTGTTTCTATGGGAAGATATATTCATAATTTCTAATAATTATTGACAACCCTTTAGAATGAAATCTATTCATAAGTTTGGGACTGTCTGGTCAGACAATGAACAACAAAAATTAGCAAATTAACAAATCAAAGCAATTTATTTTAATCTAAAATATTAGTTTAGTTTTAAGGAAGGCATTATGCATTTGTCATAATGTAGTAAGTAGTATAAAATTCCACATACTTCATTCACAGATATAAATGGCCATTTACAGAGGTACAGTGTGTTTGAAAACCCTCCTTATTCTGATAGTTTGTACTATTATGAGTCAGGAAACTTGCCTATGCATACTCCCCTGTAGCCAGAGAGCAAGGGTCCAGAGAGGCCATGTGAGAAGAACATAGTGGTATGTTGAAAATTTGCAGTGGACACAGCTCCTGGACATCCAGATTCAGAATCTCGCTCTTGGGCCTTACTAGAAATTCTATGAGTTGACACCCAATACCTGCTTAAACAGGGCAGAGAGAATTCTATTGTTTGCAACTTAAAATCCTCACTGGCATTATTATTATCACAAAACTAGGAAACACAAACAGGTCCTCTGAATGAGCCCAAGCCTCACTCCTCAACTGCAGACCATATTTCCAACTGCATACTGGATATATAACATACATCTTATTCGACACATTAAGATTCTTTCCCCCAATGTGATTCCTCTTTAGTTATTACCCCCTGGTCATTTAAATGAGGAGCAAGAATCATTTTCCTATTGGTTTTCTCTAACAGTGTGTAAGCTCTGCAAGGGCATCAAAGTCTACAATGTTCACAGATATGTCACCAGAAGCAAAGGCAGTGTCTGGCACATGGCTACTAGTCAAAACACACATGCTTTGAATTCATCTCTATAAGCACTGACATGGGCTGGGCCTTCACCCTCTCAGGGAGTTTTGGCTGGATCATTCTTTCACTCTTTTTCCCTCACTCATCTTCCTGGCTTTAATTTCTCTTCCTTTCAGGGTCTCTTCCTGATACTGCTGCAGTGATTTTTCAAAAACTCAAATCTACTGTCATTATCTTGTTGCTAACACACAACATCTTAGAGGTTAAAATGCAAACATCTTAGTATGGCAAAGATTCAAACATCTTAGATGGCACAGAAGGTCTTCCACCAACTGGCTCCTAGTTTACCCTTTCCCACACAAACCTGCATTCTAGCCGATTCCAAGTACTTGTGGTTGCTTCACACACCAAGCTGCTTCACACTTCCAATGCTATTTTTGGGGTAGAACACGCAGGAACATAGTCTGGAAATTTTTCAGAATTTCTGGAATTCCAGAATGGCTTATGCAGGTGCCAAGTAACAATATACCTGTATTATATACCTACTGAAGTGAATAGTCTAATACAATTTACCTTTATTTTGTCACTTCCTATTATAACAGGAATATCCTTGGAAAATGCTGTACTTAATTAAATCATCCAGTGCAATTTCTCCTTGCCCTAACCCTCAACAAGAATGTCATCAGCTCATTTTATATTAATAATTAATTGGCATGGTGAGAAGTGGGGACTGGCAGACTGAGGTGGAATAGAGGGCTCCCTAATACCTACAAACCTTCTTCTGATGTTCCAAGAACTCATATTACCACCAATAGGTAAATATCATAACTATTTTTGTTTTTTCTATATTTGGAAAATAAGGAGCTCATCTGTTGCTTTTAGTTAGACAAGGATTGACTAAGAAATCCTTTACATTGTAGACTGACTATCAGAACAACTACAATAGGTAGACAAAATTAAAAAAATATGTATATCATGATTATTCTTCCCAAGACAGGTGTGGATAGCTCCTTATTGTTCCATTAGACTAATTAGGAAATTCTAAAACACAAAGGTCAGTAGAAAAAACAGGCAATGAAAGTAAACTGCTTTTCTTGGTTGAAGAAGAGGGGAGTTGAAAGGCCAATGGATGTATCCACCTACCACATTACTGTCCTTAAGGGGCTCTGAGAAGCACTAGCCTAGGCAGTAGGATTTCCTGGCAATAATACTCCGAACGCTATTCTTGGTATTTAACTACATTTTGGGAACCTCTTCACCAACCTAATAAAAATAAAAACTCTTCCCCCAAGTTCATGGTTTTTTACTGACTGGATTTCTCTTCACCATGCAGTCATATCTTGGGCAATTTTCTGTTTGGATAGAGGTTGATGTCTGTCTTCCTAGCAAAGGACTTTTTATCCATTCTCCCTAGCTTTTCATCTGGATAGCCATTCTTCCCCTTTCTTCCAAAGGCTATTTCCAAGATCTCAACTGTCAGGAAAAGTGAAAACATGACAGGAGACCTGTAATTGTAGTTTAGTTATTTTTGTGTGTGTTATGACTTTGCCCCTAACAATGGCATATACTTATAATTTGAACCAAGAGACATAACAAATGACACAGGGCAAAGGATCTCTTTTCATAATTATTTATATGATCTGAGGGTGATACTGAGGTTATAGAAAACAGAGAGCACAAGAATTAAAGATGGTGTCCTTCATATAGAATACAGCAGCTGCTGACACAGCAGCAAGAGGACACAAACCTTGAGGTACTGCAGATATTGATTTGCATTGATCTGTGTCTACTGCAAACCCAGTGGAGAGTGTGAACAACAGATGAACAAACTGGACAGTTGTGGGAAGACAGATCTGAATGTCTGGATTGCCAGAAAGGTCAAAGGTCATGTCTGATACACATATTTCTGATACACATGTTACCTGACAAACTTGACCATTCTCTTAGGAATGTACTTTTACAATTTTAGTCTTTAAAGAAATCCCGAGCACAGAGACAGCAAAGAATGGCACATACGTGTAATCTTGGTTTCCACTGGTTGCTCGCAAGCTTGAGTAAGATGCGTGACCATTCACAGAGGTGAGTATTTTTGGTCTATTCCTGACCCTATTTTGTTTTTATGATTTTTTCATTTCAGCTTTCCTTGATGTGACTCTACAATATTTTTGAACCCCTATAACAGCTTTCTAAAATGCATTCCAGGGAAAGTTAAAATGTAAATAAATAACATTATGACCTATCTTCTAAAGAGAAAACTGCTCATTTGATGCACAGTGAAAACATTAAGGGAACAGGAAATACACATCAAGTAACCTTCGTGGGGACTAGTGGTAAATACATATCAGAAGATGATAAATGTTTTTTGACAAAAGCATTTTGTGTCAGTAGTTAGAATTTATGAATAAAAGATTCTGAAGACCATATGGGAAGGGGAAAGATCAAAGAGGATGCAGTATTAGACAAAAATGAGACAAACATCTCCTCTGGCATCCTCATAAATTACACAGGAAGCATGACTTCTGTTGAGGCCCACTCCACAACAGGTGCTCTTACTAGCCAAAGCAGAAGGCAGAAAACAAGGGTTTTTCTAACATCTCACTTGACATTTGAAAGAGTGAAAACAACTGGGAATTATATGTGTCTAGGGTCTGTCAAAATGCTACTGTGGTTCTCATTTCTTTTCTTCCAGAACCCTCCAAAGGTAAAGAAACTAAAGGGAAAACTTTCAAAAATATAAAAGACAAAGAACACATAAACATAATCTTTTTTTTCAGAAATGAATAAAACAATTTAAATATTATAATTTTAAATAAAGCTGAAGCTAGTGAGGAGTAGGAAAAAGTTCCTATTTTTTCTACTCCATGAGATTGAGCAGAACACTAACACAGGACTAAGTTGTATAGATCTATATATAATAAGACACACCCCAGTATCCAACCCTCATTCTTCATAATTTCAAATCGTTTGGTTTATGATATGATATATAAAATTTAATTTTGCACATTACTTAGGATTTAAAAAGCTTTGAAAACTCTACAGAAAAAAATATTTTTAAAAGGAATTTTGAGCCTATTTTTTTTTAACTTTCAATTTAACTTTTTAAATTTACTTGATAATTTAAATGGCCCTTGGGAGACGTTTGTTTATTAGCCAGATTAAAGTTTGAAAATGCACAGAGGAAACACTCTCACTTTTTAACAGAGGAGTCAGAATCATGAAAATCACATGCAGGAATTTTTCTTACACATATAGATCATGTTCTAAGCCTTAATTTTTGATTAAATATTTTTACTGGATAAGTTTAGATATGCAAAAGCATATGATTTATTCACATGCGATTCTTTGCTACTCATATAAAAAGATACTATCAAATTTAGTGTGTATCTAAAGAATGATATTCATTTACTGTCACTGCTTACCTTGAATAAGGATTTATTTTTAACTTTTATGAAGAATGAAGTTAATTTCTAAGAAAAGATCATTCCAATTATGAAAACAAAAAGAAAACATAAATTTCTTCTTTTCTTTCTGGAAATTAAAAAAACCTATTTTTATTATAATAGCATTTTTGGCTCTTTATTCACAGGTAAGTACCATAAGAAGCTGTTTTAGTGCTAAAGCAGGAGTGAATTCACAAGAGGAATAGCGTACAGATCTAGGATCATCAATAACTGTCCACAAAAAGGAACAGATCCATAAGGATACAGTCAATATTTGGGAAAACACATGCTGCATTTCTGTGCAAGAAAGACATTTGAAAGCTAGGGGAGTGTTTTAGAATGTTTTAGATCCCTTCTGAAAAACTCTCATAGATTCCTAATTTGTCCCACATACCCTTACCCACCCTAGTTTCCTTCTCTTCTTTACTGCACCCCTGCAAACCCCCACCAAATGTGTAGAATTTTAAACTACCAAATTGGGGAATGAAACCGAAAAATGCTTATTAGAAAGAACAGATAGAATGATTATAATGAAAGATCAAGGAAAAGTCTTGTGAAACAGGTACCTAAAAACAGTACTGAAATATAGTGTGTGGGGGGTAGGTTCATAAACACTGTTCAGTGAATGAACAGGTACCCTCCATGACAAACTGACAAGGTGATTGGTTGGTCAGGACTCTCTTAAATTTCTAAGTTTAGTGTCCTGTATCCCTCTTGTTAGAAATATGAATCCAGAGGAGTAAGAATTCATAACATGACAGAGAAGACTGTTGAGTCGCTTAATCTTTCTTCTCCCTTTTTCCCTACTTCCTCATTCACTGCCACAATGAACCAGTGGTATTGATGGAAAAGGTATTGTGGAGGATTTGGAACATACTGTGTAAATTCATGACCTATACAATTTAAAAATCAGGGGAATGAATGGTCTTCTTTATTTAATCTTTTGAAAAGAATATCAGATTTTAAATAAAATCCTGTAATTTTAAGAAATAATAATACTTTTATGAAAAATGAAAAAAGTTGTCTTTAATTTTTAAAACTAAGTCAGTTATGTAACATTTAAAACACATACAATAGAAGCAGTATAATGAACTTTATGTATTTATTACCCAGCTTCAACAAAAGTGACCATGTGATGAAACTTACCCATCTTCACCATCATCATGATTTTCTCTACATTACTAGATTAGTTTGAAGCAAACCCATCTTATTACTTCAGTAATAA